GTTTCTGTCATAGCTTTTTGTGGACATGGTTCTATTCCGTGCTAAGTTTGTGGACATGGTTCTATTCCGTGCTATGAAAACACCAACGTGGTGGGGATACGCACACAAGCGAGAACCGTCGTCATACATCAACATAATATGTCTGCACATTTCCACGACATATATATAATACTCCTATATTGCTAGTACGGTGCCGACCTGAAGTCCACATGTTACGGTGCAAACAATATAGTAGCCTCTCTCTCCAGCTGCTTTGTGCGCATGCGATGAACATTCAAGCACGTTTGGGCATTTCTCTTTCTCGCGTTCTTTCCAATGCTTTGTCTCGCTCGCACTCGCTTAGTAGACGCGCCTGCGCAAAATGACGCTCGACTATCTATGCCCATATTTGGACTTCGTGCGTCTCTCTTTCTCGGGCCTCGTGCCTCTCATTGCGAAGATACGCGACTAGCAATATAGGAGTATTACATATTTGCCTCGATATTACTCTGCTACGTACCAGCTAACCACAGTTAATTCAACTCAAGCGATACAAGACAGCGCTGAGTTGAGTCGTCATGAATCATGCGGATTACAGATGGTCATGTCTACAAAATTTTCGGTCCTAGTAAAACTAACTCGAACTTGAGTTATCGTAAACACCCAGAGTTTAACTATAGGATTTCAATGCTTCTGTTTTTACAAAATTGCCGAATGCGTATAAACAGAAGTATTGAAATCCTATAGTTAAACTCTACCGGTTTCGGCATAAGTTAACAGTTATTGCCCGCATAAACCAGGCCTTAAAGTCTATCTACATAAGACGCAGACGCAAGTCGCAGGCCGCTGATCTCGCAGAATTGACCAGTCACGTAAGTCAATTGGCTGATTTGACAAACGTGAATGGTCAATTCCTCGAGATCAGCTGCCTGCAATCTGCGTCTGCGTCTTATGTCTATCTACGGCTGCTTTTTTTTTTTAGGAGACACAGTCGACACAAGTTGACACAAAAGTTATTCTGTCTTCGTTCAGTATTCAGTGAGAAACAAAGACAGAATGACTCTTGTGTCGACTAAGTTAACAGTTATTGCCCGTATAAACCAGGCCTAACTCAAGGAGAAGTCAGATGGTGCGGAACGTGCGTAATGCAGAATTTACGGAATGAATTCCGGTCAATCATAGACATTCCGCTAACTTCGTTCTATAAAACTGTGTTTCCTTATGTCCCATTGAACGGAATTGGTTTTTGTGCAATAGGACGCTGACTAATCGTAATGGCTAGTCTACAATGGGAGTAGGCAGTATAGAGTAAGAAGTAAGGTTTTTGGAGTTCTTTTATTTTTGTCTATACAAGTAATTATTTCGCGTTTTTTAACACACGTCTTTCATTGGCTAACAATAAGGCAGTAGGCAGTGCAAAATGGGAATTGTCCAGTCGCGGTCACTGAATCGTTTCGTGGACGCGGGGGGCTAGGGGTAAGAGAAACGATATTTCCTAGCGGTAAGGAGCGCCAACGGGCGCTGTCCTAACTTAACCTTTTTTTTTTTTTTTTTTTTTTNTTTTTTTTTTTTTTTTTTTTTTTACAAAGGGAAATCCTTTATGGATTCCTTTACCCATCGGGGAGCTGGGCAGAGGATATGCGGGACTAACTGACTCACTCAGGCATCCCTCGGCCTCCTTCCATCTTCCCACTGGGAAGGAGAGAAGGCCCACACCCTATAGGGGAAATCCTCCTCCACTACCACCCAAACAGGAAGTCCGAAGCACGCCGAAAGTCCCCCGAAAATGACCAGCCTACCCGCTAAAACCCCTCGATGTCCCCAATTGCGCCAACTGGGCAAGGAGAGCCAGCGGACGTCTAAGGACATTGTAAGGATGCAAATCGTTACGGCCGGGACCGACCATCCGTCCCGGCCAAAAACGCGGCGCTTTGCGCCAAATAATTACTTTAAACAAGTGTATATTAAAATATACGCCGACGGCCTGCGCGCCGCCCGCACCGCGCGTTCCCCCGCGCCATAAAGCGGTCTACGCGCCGCCCGCACCGCGCGTTTCCCCGCGCCACAAAGCTACTTACACGCCGCCCGCACCGCGCGTCTCCCCGCGCCAAAAAGCGGCTTGCGCGCCGCCCGCACCGCGCGTTTCCCCGCACCACAAAACGGCCTGCGCGCCGTCCCCGCACCGCGCGCTACCCCGCGCCTACAAGTACCAGCTGGTACCGCGCCCGCACCGCGCGCCTCGCCGCGCCACGAAACTCACCGCGACAAACAAACAGATGTTTATTCGCGCATCCTTGTAAACCCCCGCCCCGGGGAAAAACTCGGGTATAAAAGCCGGCCCGAAAACCAGAGAAATCAGATCTGCTCCGATCTCCGGGTCTTACGGGTAACAAGCAGGGAAGCTTCTTCTCAGTCGGGCAAACCGACCGCAACTCAGAGATCCGCTCCGCTCCGAGGGAATCTTAGATTTTCTGCCGGGTAAACCGGCATCCGCTCCGCTCCAGGGGGAATCTTGTATTCTCCGCCGGGTAAACCGGCATCCGCTCCGCTCCACTCCGGGGAATCTTTCGAGTCTCCGCCGGGAAAACCGGCATCCGTTCCGCTCCGCTCCGGGGAATCTCTCGATTCTCCGCCGGGAAAACCGGCATCCGTTCCGCTCCGCTCCGGNCGCTCCGGGGAATCTCTCGATTCTCCGCCGGGAAAACCGGCATCCGTTCCGCTCCGCTCCGGGGAATCTCTCGATTCTCCGCCGGGAAAACCGGCGTCTGTTCCGCTCCACTCCGGGGAATCTTTCGAGTCTCCGCCGGAAAAACCGGCATCCGTTCCGCTCCGCTCCGGGGAATCTCTCGATTCTCCGCCGGGAAAACCGGCGTCTGTTCCGCTCCGCTCGGGGAATCTTTCGATTCTCCGCCGGGAAAACCGGCTCTCTTTTCCGCTCCGCTCGGGGAATCTTTCGATTCTCCGCCGGGAAAACCGGCTCTCTTTTCCGCTCCGCTCGGGGAATCTTTCGAGTCTCCGCCGGGAAAACCGGTTCTCTTTTTCCGCTCCGCTCGGGGAATCTTTCGATTCTCCGCCGGGAAAACCGGCTCCCTTTCCGTTGGAGCCGCCCCAAGGGAATAGGCGAAGCACGAAAGTACGAAAAGCCTAGCGACGCAAGATCGACCAAACGACAAAGTCTACTTTTTTTGGAAGAAAAGTAACTTTCCAGCATTGTAAATAGTTTCTTCGCAAACCGATAAAACTTGGTTGGTGACCCGACAGCGTATAAATCTCTTTTATAGAAAAGAGACTTTCGCCGCAATAAAGACTGTTCTCGCGATAACCCGCGTTGCGAACGATACCGCGGCACTCGCGCGTCAAAACATCTAGCCGAGGCTCCTGAACGGCCTTGACCGAGGCTCCCGCGTTTAAATCTCCAGCCGTCTGCCTGGAATTCAGTTTTTGTCCATAGACTTAAGCGAACCGGCCGAAAACGTGACTTACTCACGCGCGATTCGAGGAGTCCAAAATAAATTCCGCAGCATATTCTTTTCATTATTTCTTCTCTTGTACATATTATTTTTTTATTTGTTGTTTCTTTTTGTTTTAATTGAATAAATTTAACTCGTTATTATAAATCGCCGAGTTCGCTCTTTTCTACCTTTGTTTCTTTTCCTGGTTCCGACGAGCTAATCCGCAGCAAGTAAACTCACGTAGAAACGGAAATATTTCTTAACGAAAAATAGAACCGTTACAACATTACTTGCTGACTCTCCGCCTTTCACATGCGCAAGTCCCAAAAGGACCACTACAAGATCTAACAGAAAGGGGCAAAAAAACCCTTTCCCATTCCTTGCCACTTTAATTAAACATTGGCTGCGTGCAATGGCAGTAGTCAATCCCCGATTGACACCGCCTGCAGACCAAATTGGAAACAAAGGTACAAGAGGGAGGGGGGGACATATTCCCTACGTCCTCAATCTCATGTCTCCTTAGCCATCCAAATAGAATTTGCACTGTTTTATGGTATATTCCAACACTCATACATTTGTTTCAAGCCAATGCGCTTGAGCAATTCTTCTGTTGTTTCTTCTTCTAATGACAGGCATAATCCGTCTCTGTCGCTCTCTTTCAGCTTCTTCCTTCTTTAGCAGCACTCGATCGGCAAAACAAACCACCGCTTTCCACTCTTCAGGTCCATTCAACATTCTCCCTACTGCTGTTTCCATTGTAACCCGATCGATTTCTAATTTTAGGCGTAGTAACTCGCGTTCATCTTTCCAACTTTTGCACTCCTCTCATGTATGCAACAGTGTGTCAGTTGCCAGTCTACAGTGCGAGCATTGATCGGATGCAGCTCTATCAATTCGGAAAAGGAACGAGTTGAAGCATCCGTGTCCCGTTAACATCTGGGTAAGATGGAATAACATTGCACCGTGTCTTCTCATTACCCATCGATCAAAAAACGGAAGAATAGCTCTCTTCGTGTCTCTGCCAGACTGTTGATTGGCACTGAGCTTTCTATACCACCTTGCTCTCGTACTTGCCGCTTCTTCGCTTTTTATTTGCGTGAGTGTCACATCCTCATTCGCGCGAATTCTTCGAAAAATTATTGCCCTTTCCTCCGCAAGCATTTCCAAGGGTGGAGCCCTAGCCAGGAGTTGGGCAACCTCAGCAGATATCGTGCGATATCCGCTTATTACTCNATTTGCGATAATTCTTTGNGTGGCNCCGCAACAAGCCACCGCCTTCTTATNTTTAGNTAGTTCTCCAGCCNAAACTGGTGCTCCATATAGGATGACAGCNTGAAACACGCTTAANTAGAGTCGNCGTCTATTTTCCATCGGGCCGCCCAGGTTGGGCATGATACGCGCCAGCGCTAACACAACCTTCTGGCTCTTATCAATCATGTTGGCAAAATGGTTTTTGAAGCACCACTTGTCATCAAGNGTAAAGCCCAAANNNTTNANNG